TTAAAAAAGAAAAAAAAAAATCAAAGAGGGGGCTAATAATTCTAACCAATAATTTTTTTTAAATATCTCCCAAATTCTTTTTAACAGAGCAAGGAAATTTACACAGTACTTCCTATAATATTTTTTCATCTGGTGAAAGTCTTATTTGTTTTATTTCAGCCAGAATAAAAAAAAGCTTGACATTTTTTAATACCATTTTAAGGTCAATATTATTAGCCACCTTTAGCAACATGTTTTAATTGTCTACAGAACAAACCATTGTTATATAATAGCTTGCCTAATTACCTTAACCTACCTAATTACCTAGTAAAGGCTTTAAATGTCACTTTAAGCTGCATACTAGTATCTTGAACAATATCTACTAAAATATTATGAACTGTCATCATAGCAAAGATAATTGAAATGAGTTAATAAAACTATTATGTTTAGAAATGTGTTGAAAAATCCTTCTTTCCGTTAAACAGAAATTGGGGGGAAATATAGAGGAGGCTAACAATTCAGGATGGCAAAAAATAGTTCATTACATTGTTAATCTCACTAACGTAATGTTTTCTTCCGTATTAAAAATAGTAATTTTAACTGTTGTTGACAGAATGTTTGTGTGAAATCTCTTCTGTCTTGTGTTTGTAGGCACACGGATGGTGAGTTCAGCCTCTCTAAGAAAGTTACTGCAGTGTTGTCCTCGTCTGAAGCTGCTGGACGTGTCCTTCTGCTCACAGATCGACTCACGCTTTGTCCAAGAGCTCAATGGCCTTTTCCCGAATGTGTCCATCAAGAAAAGCTTCACTCAGTAAAACACAAAAATAAATAAATAAATAAATAAATAAAAAGTGGGTCTGAGCAGGATGGACTTTGAGACCCCGGGGAGAAGCCTTGCGCTTTCTGGTGCTGTGAACTCGCTGCCTTCAACTGCAGGAGCTGTGAACTGCCCTTCCAAGACGTCACGGATGTTTCACTCACTCTAACTATGTGTTGAATCTTACAATTTCATCAGACCTCAGTTTTGATCTTAATCTCAGGGTTTTATTTTTGTCTTCAGAGAGAGAGAGCGAGAGAGACGTTTGTAGTATGCTGTACTACAACCCAGTGGTTTTGTTTTAAACCTAGCGTATCAGTATCAGTGTTTTATTTGCATTGTTAAATGTTGTCAGATCGATGTTGTGAAATAGTAACATGGCGTACTATGATTATTTATTGATCCATTTATAAATTCAGGGCCACACTGACTTGAATCGCGGGCACAGAAATCTTTTGTGGCAATACCTAGTTTGGGTTGAGACTTCTTATGCACTCGTACACAATAGGGCAAAACCAAAACATAAGCTTTTCTCTATTGCAAAACTTGACGTTTACTTTTGCGCATGCTATAGCTGGTAGATGACATATCCTTGTGCCTTAGGTGTCAAGAGAGAAGTGCTTTGTGTGTGTGCGTGTGTGTGTGCGTGCGTGCTGGTTGTCTATTGTGCTATGCTAAAATTGTGATTTGCCAAAATCACCCTAAACCAAAGGGTTTTTTCTTTCTTTTAATTTTGAAAAACACTCTAACAGCATTGTACTGTATTTTCTTTAAAGGTGTACAGTTATTCAAATCAAAACAAGAATTATTGGAGTTTTTTTGGTAAAAGTTTTTTAAGTGCCACATTTTTTAGAATAATGTTTGGATCTGACTTACCTGTACTTTACTCTAGCGTACTAAGCACACCACGTTAACACTGAAGTAACCTAACATTATTTTATTTCTGTTAAATTGTACAGTGATTTTTTTTTTGTCATTTTGGATATTGAATTAATTCATGCTGTTCGAGAGTTTTAGCATCATTTCAGATCTGAGAGTGACAGTCATGAGGTCTTGGTTCAATAAAGTGAGGCTTAATATTTTGGAGTTTTGAATTTTTTGAAAAAAAAAACACATTTTCTCTAATGGTTTGATCTAATAGTGTTAAAATTCATTTATTCTTTCATTTTCCTTCGGTTTAGTCCCTTTATTCATTAGGGATCACCACAGCGGAATGAACCGCCAACTTATCTAACATATGCTTTACACAGCACATGTCCTTCCAGTTGTAACCCTTACTGGAAAACATCCAAACACTCTCTCTCTCTCTCTTTCTTTCTTTCTCTCTCTCTCTCTCTCTTTCTTTCTCTCTCTCTCTCTCTCTCTCTCTCTCACACACACACACACCCCCACCCACCGACCAATTTAGTTTACCCAATACATTTACAGCGCATTTCTTTGGACTGGGGGAAACCGAAGCCAACATGAGGAGAACATACAAACTCCACACAGAAAGGAAACCTGGGACTCGACCTTCTTGCCATGTCACCTAGTGTTAAAATGTCAGAGATAATGTATGATTTTATAAAGAAAATAATAGAGATATAATTCAAATAATACAGAATTCAGATATATTAGCACATATTTTTCCCTCTATGGCATTTATATACGTAAAACGTTTCTTATCACAGCTTTAATGATACACAGAATTTAAGAACAAATTGTTAGCATTTCGGATACTGTCATTTAATATTTAGAATAAACTTGTCATATATGATCAATTTAGTTATTTTCACCTTACCTCGCTCGCCTTCAACGTTTAACCTCCTTATCACGCTCAGTTTGTCGACAACAAACCCCGCCTGCTTTTACCTGATTGGTCAGATCAGTAATTTTGACATTGATAATCGCTATCAGACTTCTTAGTAAGAAGACCAGCCCAAAATATGACCGATAAATCTTATTTTTTTTATTGCAACAAATTGCATAATTTCTACTTACTAGGGGACTGTCAAAGGTGGTTACGGTCCTTCATCTCCAACTGTGAAATTCAATAATTTGGTCCAGCAGAAAGTCAAAAACTTCCCTGATCTTAATCCCTCAGAGTGTTAACGGTGTATTAATATTGCATCCGGCAGTGACAGTCTCATTGGACTAACAGTGATGTAATGAATTGTTTATGTCTGCCTTAATGATGGACTGAGGAGCTCTAATGTGCCCTGAGGACCTGGAGGGATGCAGTTAATTAGATGAAACGATTTCTTGATTTCTATACAACTATTGCTAGTCAGTACACGCAGAAAACTGTCATTACACCCCTGTAAATAGATCAGCAGTACAAAGCATAATAACACTGTCTGCCTCTGCCTTTGGACCCTGTAATTTAGAAGTGGCTCTGCACTGCTACAATGCTGGTTTTACCATACGCATTTGACCTTCTCTCTTTCATGTACCTTTTGTATAGGAAGCTAGTTTGAAGAATATTTTTTTTTAACATCAAGCAGGCTTTCTAAACACTGCTTAAGAGCGGCATTCTAAAAAAAAAAAAAAAAAAAAAAAAAAGGTTAAATGTCTTTAATAATTTGCAGTTAGGTTAACCTTGTGGTCATAAAATAATTTATTTGCTAATAAAAAAAATTACCCATCATGGATCTTTGGTTTACATTTTAATACACATTCCTAAGCCTAATCAAGTTTTAAAAGGGGTTTGTTAAAAATACAGCACACTACAGGTTGTGTTCTAACTAGGTTACCACCATATTAATGCAAATTTGTTTATATTAGTTAATTTATTCATATAATTATGAAGAAAATTTAAATAAATATACATTAATTAATTGTTTTAGGGAAAAAAGTCTTCATTATTGAAAACAGAAAATGCAAGAGCTCCCATGCATGTGGTTTAAATGGGTTTTATATATAAAAAGAGTAAATGAAAAGCCATCTAAAATTGAGTTTAGAATGTGTAGTTTTGTGCTTATGTCTGTGATGCAGACGAAATTCAAGCTGGTGGACCCTTACAAAAATCAAAATACAGTTTTCAATCCGTTTGTCATGTGTCACCTCAGCAAACCAACAAAATCAGAAGTTCATAAACTACTAAACTTTTGGTGTTTCAAGTCAAAATGTTTTTGAACAGTGATTTCTCATGAACCAGGGTATGTAGAATATAGACTATTTAAATAAGCATTGCTACATCGCCTGTTTAATTCAGAGAACCCGAAGAAAACCCTGGTGTTACATTTAATCAATGTTACTTGAGATGTTGTGGGATAAAATTTCACTAGGTGGCACTACAGGATAAGGATGACCATTTTACACAATCGCGGAATGAGTGCCCTCAAATTTAGACCTAAAACACACGGTTTTCACAAAAATAGAGAAAATTGTATCACTTTGAAACTTGACATTCTTAAATCTAGCTTTAGTTGACTGAAATTATTACGAAAAATATAGTAGTTATTCTCTGAATGGAAATGAGACTGGGATTAACTGTAAACATCAAAGCAGAGCACCAAAAAAAAAAAAAGCAACCCCAAAAATATTTCCGTTCACTATTATGAGCCCTGCTAAAATTCAGAAATTATATTATGAAGACAACGTGACGTTTTACATTATCAATTTAATACATTTTATATGTATTTTGTACAGAGGCTAAAAGTTAGCCAAATATAAAAAGTGAATTGCAAACAATAATATAGCTACACAAATTAAATTAATGCAATAAAAAGGCCAACCGAGCCGCACGTTTTGTTGACAAAAATATTAAATAATAGTAATACTTCGTCCTTAACTGTTTGTTTAACAAAATTTGCTAATTGTAAATATAGGCCTATTATTTATATGTTTTACCAAATAAATCAGCGAGTTTTGTGAAAGAAGACGAATCAAGAACACATTTCTGCACGTGAACCAGTGATCTCAGGATATGTGTTCTATGTTTTAATTATTTTTTCTTTTCTATTTCGGGGAAAATAAATAATTATTCTGTTTGCATTTGTGGTCAAATTTGAACTCGATTTCATTTAAGATTGTGACAAATTAACCAATCTGAACGCGTGTGAAATTTCGCTGGCACTGCTGTTTTGTTACCAGTTTTATATTTTTGTTTCAAAATGTGACATATCTAGAAAATCAGGCTTTACCCGCGTTGTTTTCACACCCGACGACATGTAATGTCAGTTTTATACTTCGATTCAGAAAAAACAGCATATACTACAAAATCAAATTTCTATCACAACCTCTGCGCATTTTATTATACCCACAATTTCATCCAGTTCAACGTTTGATGGAGTCTTTCTGACAGAGGAAATAAAACGACAAATAAATAGCTCCCACAGTCTTTGAATTACATGACAGTTTGATCAATTAATCTATGTAAATGATTCTTTTAAGGAACAAAACAAAAAGATAAAAACAGATGTCCCTGGAATTTCAGTGGAATAGATTTACATTAAAAATATGAATTAAAATGTAAGCAAAAATAATACAATAAGAAAATAAAAATAATAATAATTTCTGATTGCTGTATTTACACACGTATAGCAAGCCACTGGGAAAATATATTCCCATTTTTGCAAATATTCCAGTGTTTACATTTTCAGTAAATCATCACTGCATCGTGTCCCTATAAAGGCGAAGCGGGACTAACACAACGAAGAATTACAAAACACACAAGAAAAAAAAAAAAATACAAAGAAAACTAAACTGATCAATCAAAAACCCAAGTATCCTTAGATCCGTTATTGGGTAAACGTGGAGACTATTTAATAATAATAATAATAATAATAATAATAATAATAATAATAATAATAATAATAACAGCAATACTGACAATAATAGTGCTCGTGTTTCCGATTGATATGCTTGATGAAATTATAAAATACACAAAAACCGCTTTGTCATATGGACCAATGAAGAATTATTTGACTTGAAATGAAAATATTGCATGTCACATCATTTGCTTTTCCCATTCTCCACAATACTGTGTAAATAACCTCTATTTCAAAATAATTAAAAAAAGACATTCAAATGTTTGAGATATATAATATTGAATTCGTTGGGTAGAAAATAGTGCTAACATTGTTGAAAACTGAACATTGTTTACTATACATAAACATATAGTAAAGTCAGCTCATTAATTTATAAAAAAGCAGCTGAATGTGGGTTAAAAAGCAACTGACTCACGCGAGAGATAGCAAGCAATATTCGGCTAAAATGACTATAAATATAAAGGCAAAATAGACCAACTCTAATGTCAAAACAAATCGAGACGCAAATAAAAATAAACCAAAACCTCTAAAATATTTCCCCAATTCAAAATAATACGAAAAAGTGCTCAAGTGAGAGAATAACGTAGCTATGTCCTTTAAAAATTATACAATATTTACAGCACTGTGTGGAGTCCTGTCAATCAATTGTATTTTATGGTGATACGTCTTTTATCGAAGAAAAATGCCAGGTTTCTTTCTCTAGCCCTTCGGCGACCTGTCTGCAGCTCGATGCTGGAAGTTTCTTTTGATTTCTTTTCAATTTAGAGCATCCGTATTGATAAAACGGAGACTAGAAGAGACTAGAATCAATTGTGTGTGACTAATTTCTTGGCGCCAAGACTACAACATCTGCTTAGTGTGACCTTGCACCTCATCACTGTGTTTCTATAAGTAAATATAATGTATCTAAAATAGCCTGATAATAATAATAATAATAATAATAATAATAATAATAATAATAATAATAAACGTTTAAAGGCCTTTTGATCAAAATAAATAGTCAAATACTGTAGATAGATGCATGTCACACTGATGTTGTTTTTCAGTAGAATCGATGTTCACCCTCAGTCGCCCACAACAAAAGTAAAAATGGCGTGTATTTGTCAAATGCTGCAGCACTAGTCACTTTTCAGGCTAAGCCTGCAAAAGCAAATGCAGTGAATGCGTCTCGATGTAAACAACTGGCTATGGGACACCCATGCTCGCGTTTGAGGGACATTTCGCTCGTCTCAAAGTGTTTGATAAATAGTAGGGTTACACCTTAAAACTGCGTCTTTTCACAGTGCTGGGTATTCACAGAACAACCGTTCTCTTTGCTCGCGCAGGGAACGCACGGTCCCCCTCTCTGTTGCAGCAGTAGCCTACGAATATTGAGAAACATTGAAGACGGATATAATCTGCTCGCCCGCCTCAGTAGTCTAAACCGCAGCTGCTTTCACTTTGGATAGTTCCAATGTGAACATAATCATAAATGAAGACTGAAGCAGTCAATATGATAAGATATGTCCTTGTTTTGTAAGTGTTTTTTGAGTGTTTTTCTCTCCCCCCTCACTGAACTGGCGTCTGAACCCCGTGATGCGGCGGCGTGTCTCCGTATACGTCCTCGGTACCCGGTAGAGGTCCGCCGGGAGGAGTCATCCGTTTTTCTTTCTGTCTCCTGTTACAAAACCAAACCCTCACTACCTCTTTTTCCAACTGCAGACTGTCCGCCAGTGAAGTAATTTCCGACGCGGCTGGCTTTGGGCACTTAAGGAAATGGCTCTCCAAAGCCCCTTTGACGCTTACCTCGATGGAAGTCCTCTTTTTCCGTTTCCTCCCCTGCGCTGCTATCTTGTCCAAGCTCGTGGGGCTTCCAGATGTGGAGTCTGCCTCCTCCAACCACTTGTTCAACAAAGGCTTGAGCTTGCACATGTTTTTGAAGCTGAGTTGCAGGGCCTCAAACCTGCATATTGTGGTCTGCGAAAACACATTTCCATAGAGCGTTCCCAAAGCTAGTCCGACGTCCGCCTGCGTGAAGCCCAGCTTGATCCTCCTCTGCTTGAACTGTTTGGCGAACTGTTCCAAGTCGTCCGAGGTCGGCGTGTCCTCGTCCGAGTGGTCGTGGTGGCTCTGGTGCGACTGGTGCTGGTGCTGGGACGGTGGATGGCCGTGATCGCTGAGATGCGGGCTGTGGTGGTCCTCGTGCGCGTCGCGCATGCTGTGGTGGTGGATGCCCTGGCCGCTGCCCGGAATGAGACCGTTCACGCTGAAGCTGGGCTGCGAATAAATAAGGCTCTGTCCGTTCGATGTGGCCATGCTGGGGATGTGAGCTGCCGTCGTTGTTCTCCATGCCCTTGAATCGTGATGGTTCCCGTGCGTCTGATGTACCAGGTGGGGTGGCCGCGACTGATGCTGGAGATTGCTGGAATTGTGCATCTCGTCCCGGGGGCTCTGCACCGCTGGCTTGATGTCCTGCTCGCCGAGGGGACTGGACGACCACGGACCTCCTTCTCCGTGTGACAAGGCTGTTATCCACTGGTGCGCGTGGCTGAGCGGGTGACTGTTGCTCTGCAGTGAGTAGTCACTCTGCAACAGGGTTTGCGCGTCCCTGTAAGCCGTAGCTTGCTGCATGCTTCCAGGCTCCGAGTGTACAATAGATGGACTGGAGGTGAGGATATTGTAATGATTGGATGCTGTAGTCGCCATGACTCTCGGAGCCGGACTGATCGCTCCTATTAAAGGAACCTTGCATTTGACAGTTACTCTTTTGCCACAGGCGTCTCCCAGGCTCTTTGCCAAGTGGACGCAGAGGCGCGCACCTGAGCTCCGCCTCTCGACCACGCTTATTGGCTGAGAAAGGATGATGGACGCGCTTTTTTGAGGCAGCTTTCAGCTGATTGGACGCTCGAGAGTCTTAACAAACACTGCCTTCTTCCCTCAAAAGAACTCCGTGTCCTGCAGCACCTCTGAAATGTGAGGGACCGACGGGCCAACAAGACCAGGGCGAAGAACATCAAAGGTTAAGATTTTTATAACTTGGAGAGAAATTTATTTCAAACCTGTCTCTTGTGGAATTTGTGATTGTGTGCGTAGCTATGTATGTTTGTAAGCTTTATGTATGTAGGCTACATTATTTATTATAATATCCATTTGAAAAATAAATAAATATATGAAAACTTTTTTAATGCTGTCATTTCACGTGTTTTTTGTTTTTACAGGTTCTGGGATTTATTCGTAAAATAAAGGGAAACTTTTGTAGTCTTTCTAGCGTAATGTTTGCTGGTCAAGCTAAGAAAATTATACTTATACATTGTTAATTTAACAGAGAATCTTCTGAGTTTTTTTTTTGCTAAAATTTAACTATAAAGTGAAAAGGTGTTGACAAACTTATGGAAAAATGGGCGCTTGACTCATTAAAGTGTTAGATTTTGAAGAGCTGACATAAACAAAAGCTTAAATTAATAAAAGTTTTGGTCACAAAATAACATTGATGATCAGAAATAAATTATCATTTTAGCAGATTAGTAAAGAATAAAAATGTGGTAACTAACTTCACAAAGTAAATAATAAAAATAATAACCTCCGAAAGAAGAGGAAAATAAAGGCAGATGATTCATTTGTTTAATTCACTATAAATGTAATCATAAAGCATAAAGAACTCAGAGAATGACAAACGAAACATATTGCTAAATAATTTTGTATTTTACTTTAAAAAATAAAGAGCAGCATAAAGTGTACAATTATTGGATGCCATAAACAATTAACAACTAGTATAAGAGAGGGAAGTAAAGGATTAAACATTTAAAAGACTTGTTCACTGAACACATGGGTTAAAATAAAATACTTCAAACTAAAATGATATATAAGATTTATAAAAACTTTTATAATTAAATAAAGACATAAATGTGGCACAATATGTAAATTATTTAGATATATAGACCACATTTTATTGATTAGATAAAACAAAAAATTCAGATTATCTAAACAGAAGTTACATGATTTACAATCAGAAGCACTTGTGCTGCAAACTTAGTGACTTTCTAAACTGACTAGTAAGTATTTAAGTATTTTTACTTTTTTTGTTATCTATGTTAATTACAATTAAACAGGCTAAACCATTATTAGGCAATTCCAAACATTTTAAATAAGCAGTTACGCTTCTCTTTTAACCACAACTGTCTCTATAAATCCTAATAGAAAATAAAAAAAACTTTTTCTTTTGGGGTCTGCATGGTGTACTCACGTCAAAAGAATATTTCAAAGAGGAACAGTGGGCCGTTTGGGACCGCAGGTGTCTAAAGCTGACCAGCTGGCTTCTCTGTGAGCCTCTGTAAAGAAAAGCACACGACATTGTCCGAGGAGGGGGACATTTTTTCAGCGGCGCTGCTGGTTGCTATAGAGAGCAGTAAATTAAACAACGCCTCATACGTCACCAGCATCGCCTCCTCTGGACGGCCCTACGTAAATCAGCAAGGGTAATGGACAAAAGACAAAAAGGAGCAAGGAAGACAGAGAGATCAGCTGATTTTAAGGAACTGTTTAAAGGTAGTAAATAAAGTGTAATTTGCACAGCTAATGAACTTTAACGCAGGGCGTACAGCGCCGTACAATTACGCATCACTTAGGTAACAATATAGCCTATAATAAACATGGTTCAAATCCCAATAAACCTTGCATTCGCTTATATAAAAACAGGAAAAGTTAACTTTTTTCAAATATCAAATTAGCTTATGTATTAACGTTTATAATTATATTTGTTAATATTATTATAATGCACATCGCGTATGTTTGAAATGGGTCAATAAAAGATGGGGTCGGCCTTTTATTAAGTTAATAATGTACAGTGTGGTCATCATGGCAATGACAGTTGCCTATCAAGTATAAAACAGGACGACACATTTGATAGAAAAGACTCAGTGGCCAGAAAAAGAAAGATAAAAGCTGAAAAAACTGAACAGAGAATATAATAGGTGGGGTTAAAGGGCGTTTTAAAAAAGAAAAAAAGGAGAAACTTTAAAGACACGTTCCGGAAATTCATCCGCGTAATAATGAACATCATTGTGGCGTAACAGTGAAATCACCCAAATCAAAAGAACATTTATGGCAATTAAGGTTGTAATTCAGAGAATTACCACAACGCCACAGAAGCTTAAATAGTCGTGTTGGGAGAAAACCAAAGCACATTACTTTAATGGTATAATATGCAAACTATGGATCGTTCAATTACATGGCTTAACAACGCATAAATGATGCGAGTCTTGTTATTTGGACTGTGGGGTCTACGGTAATTCATTTGGAAGGGCCAGCGCGCTCTCAAATACAGTGAAATCTATTTCTGAGCTCCGGGAGCCGCTGCCAAACTACATTTAAGGGAATAAAAATTAATGACAGAGAATCTGAGCGTTAAATTAACAGTAATTATATGACCCGCATGCTGTAAAGATTCCATTTTTTATGGTCTAATTAGGTAACTGTCTCCCCATACATCAACATATTTCCCTCAGTGGATTTTCACACAAGATCCCGGTCATGTTCAAATACTGATTGAAAATAATTAATTACATTTCACAAAGACATGCTTTAAATCACACAATAATCAAACTCTTCTCATAGTTACGCCAATCATTGACGGTTTGATCACCCAAGACGGAGCAAAAAGCTTGGAATAATAAAATGTCCTCCGATGAAAACAGATGGAGTAGCAAAATAGCATATTATTCATACAGGCTAGGCTATAGGGCCCAGAGGTTTTAACAAGGCTTTCTATTGTACAACAAGTTACAAGTAATACAAGTTAGTCGTAAACTGTTGCCAAACCGCGATTCGTAACCATGGCAACAGCACCTAACTCAATCTTTCCTCTCTATTATGCGTTGGTCGGTGTGTCAAAATAAATTATATTGCTAAAATATAAATGCTAGCTTTTAAACATTTTGATATATATTTTTAAGAAGCATTTACCTTAAACGATATTAATACTATATTATTTTATTGTAGCAAACTGGGATACATAACCTCAGGAAATCTATAGCTTTAGCTTTATTTACAATTCCTTTAAAATTCAATGGTTACATGAAAAATATCTGTGGAACTATTCCATCCTACAAAATTGTTAGTTAGAAACCTTTAGCACAAAGAAAAGTTGGTTCTTTAAAAAACTTAGACACATTCTCTGCATAGGAATGTTTTTTTATATGAATATAAATGGTTTCTATATTGTCTAAATGGTTCTTATATGGCTAGATGGTTCATATGACATCACAGCAAAAAACAAACAATAAAAAAAAAACTATAGATTCGTTATTTAAAAGTGCAAATAACTGGTCCCCTCAAAGGCAATGTATAGCTTCTAACTCGCACACCATAAAATTTCTATAGTTTTATTAAAAAAAAAGTGAATTCGTTTTAGATATAAAAAAAAAACCTCACATATGCATGTACGGAGAGAACTATCTCTGTCAGTGGGGGAGTATCCTTATACAGCTCTTGTTGAACAGGTCTTGCACCGAGATTCCAGTAATCCCAAGCAATTAATCCACACAAAGACATCGTTAAATCTGTCCCCCACTACAATTGGTTACCGATTGTCTGCATCCATTGTGGGGGGCGCAAGAGACCACCCCTGTGAGGCTAAGTGGAGACCTGTTATGAGATCCGTCCACGCACCAAAAGCGACTCGAGCATCTTCAGAGCCTCTGAATCATTCCTTTTGAACAGGACCAGTTGGAGAAATGAGTGATTTGTTTTTCTCCCACAGAAGAGCAAGGATCAAATGCCACAACCCATGACATGGAGAAGAATCATCTACTGTGCTTTATTTAATCTTATTCCAGAATAAACAACACTGCCAAATAGCAGACTCACTGCCTGTATTAATTTGAATCAAGCATCTAAACCTTTAATCACTTCAACATGCTTTCCAATGACCAACAGGTTGCGGACAAAAAAACAAATGCCAAGGATTCCAAAATACAGAGCTATAATTTACATTATATTCTGCTATTGAGACCTTGATTTAAAAACGAAAAATGATTTTGAACAATTCTTCTATTCAAGTAACAGTTCACCCAAAAATGTTAATTCTGCCATCATTTACTGAACCCTATTCTAACCCTGTTTGATTTTTTTTTTTGTTGTTGACCACAAAAGATTTTATGAACAATGTTAGACACCTGGGTGGCGCGGTGGCGCAGTGGGTAGTGCTGTCACCTCACAGCAAGAAGGTTGCTGGTTTGAGTTTCGGTTGGCATTTCTGTGTGGAGTTTGCATGTTCTCCCCGTGTTTGAGTGAGTTTCCTCCGGGTGCTCCGGTTTCCCCCACAGTCCAAAGACATGTGATACAGGTGAATTGGGTAAGCTAAAATTGTCTGTAGTGTATGAGTGTGTGAATGAGATGAGTGTGTATGGGTGTTTCACAGTGATGGGTTGCAGCTGGAAAGGTATCCGCTGCGTGAAGCATGTGCTGGATAGGTTGTCGGTTCATTCCGCGGTGGCGACTACAAATTAATAAAGGGACTTAGCCGAAAATGAAATAAACGAATGAATGTTAGACACCTGAAACTATTGATATCCGTAGGAAAAACTAATTTTATGAAAGACTACGGTTACAGGTTTCAAACATTTTTCTAAATATCTTATTTTGGAACAAATTGTTAAATTTGGGGTGAACTATCTCTTTATATGTACTAAGTACTTTCTGCTATTTAAAAATAGCTTATTTATATTTTAATTAATCACTAAAAATTTT